ACCATATGACCCAGCAATCCCACTACTGGGCATATACCCTGAGAAAACCTCACACTCCTTTTACTGACACAGTCTATCCTTTACCAGATCAAATTTCCCTTTCTTTGCTTTGCCCTCTGTTAATTTGCTGTCAGATTCCTCTCCGTTTTCTTTTTCTACCATCTTGCTTTCTCCCTTGCCATTTCTCCCAGCTGAGCCCGAGTTAAATTTATTTTAATTTTCCTCAGTTACTTTGGCTCTTCCATTTATCATCTCTCCTCTGGTGTGCCCAGCCCCCATTCCCCCCTCATCCTATGAGAAAAGAGCCTCCCCTCCAACATCATCCGAGTATAGACAGATGTAAGACTCAGCAGGTTCACGCTTCATACTGCACACTGACAGGCCAGAGACGCAGCTACCTTCCATAAAAGAAGACGTATTGAAACAAGGCATCGGACGGGGTGTGACATAGGTGAAAACTGTCTTACTGCTTTTAGTATTGCAACTGATGGCAAAAGATTCTTTTGCCTTTTCCAATGCGTCCTTTGAGCAGATACTTTGTGATTATGTGACATATATGTATGACGCCATTCACTCATTTTGCAAATATTTATTGAATCATTTAGTCAGGGAGCCAAAGTCCAGATGCTAGACCACATAATGCATAAAAGGAGGACATGTGGTATCTGCAAAAATCTGTTTTCAAAAAACCATTCTATTTTAGGCATGATGCTGGCTTGCTTGCTACATTTCTATTAACAAGTAGGGAGAAATCCACCCCCTCAATGTTCTGAGATAACAGTGCTGATGGGCCCAGAGAAAGTAAAACTATCAGAACGTGCTCCCAGTTTTAAAAGAGGGCCCTCGAGCATGCAGACAACTTGCCTTCCAGGCATGGCCACCCCATGTGTCATCTGTCCCCCAAATCACTGGAGAGCCGCTCCAGCTTGGGTCCCCCAACTGCCTGTACTTGTTTTTCTTTTCTTTTTTTTTTTTTTTTTTTTTTTTTTTTTGCGGTACGCGGGCCTCTCACTGTTATGGCCTCTCCCGTTGCGGAGCACAGGCTCCGGACACGCAGGCTCAGCGGCCATGGCGGGCCCAGCCATTCCACGGCACGTGGGATCTTCCTGGACCGGGGCACGAACCCGTGTCCCCTGCATCAGCAGGCAGACTCCCAACCACTGCGCCACCAGGGAAGCCCTGTTTTTCTTTTTTTAATAAATTTATTTTTTAAATTTATTTTTGGCTGCGTTGGGTCTTCGTTGCTGTGCGCGGGCTTTTCTCTAGTTGCTGCGAGCGAGGGCTACTCTTCTCGTTGCAGTGGCTTCTCTTGTTGTGGAGCATGGGCTCTAGGCACACGGGCTTCAGTAGTTGTGGCTCGCAGGCTCAGTAGTTGTGGCTTGCGGGCTCTAGAGCGCAGGCTCAGTAGTTGTGGCGCATGGGCTTAGTTGCTCCGCGGCATTTGGGATCTTCCTGGACCAGGGCTCGAACCCGTGTCCCCTGCATTGGCAGGTGGATTCTTAACCACTGCGCCACCAGGGAAGTCCCTGCTTGTACTTGTAAAGCCCCACCTTTAGGCAAAGGGCAGGAGGCAGTGTGGGTACCATCTGAATTTTGCTTCAGAATTGTTCGGCTCTTCTGGCTCTTGATGTTCTGAAATTTTCTTTGAAGCTAACGATACAACAAAGATCAAGGACTATAGAGTCAAACTAACTGGGATCTGAAGACACACTCAGCCGCTGGCTACCTGCGTAATCTCAGACGGA